TAGAAGACTCAACAATTTTTTAAAATTATCTCATTAAACTAGGATTAAAATGATAACAAAGACGTGGTTCTTTCCCCAGGAGCTGAGAGTCTGATACCTGTGTTTTCAGGAGGAGTGGTGGTTACCAGAGACAGCTATAGAGTGGGTGGCAGTCATATCCTGGGCCTGGGTCCAGGATGAACAGGGGATGAGGAGGAGTGGAATGGCTCCTCCCTCAAGTCATGCACTGGGGGCCACAGAAGGAACCAAGGGGTCAGCGTTGGTTGTGTACCTGCCAGGCTCAGAGTTGTCTGGATGAGGATGTCAGGAAGGAACTGGGTCTGTGGCCCAGAATTAGAGACTGAAGGAGAAACATAGGCCAAGGAGATTAGTAGAGACAGGAAAATGAATGGGGAGAGAGCGGGAAGGCAGGCACAGGAGGGACCTGGAGAATCCCGAAAGCCCTGTAGAGGGCTGGACCTGGTGCAGTGCAGGAGGCAGGGTTCACCCCACCCCCACCCCAGTACCTGAATCTGGAAGTGGCCATCTCTGCGAAGTGGGGTTGAGACACCAGGAAACATTTAATCTTGCACCATGTTTGAGTATTATGTATTTCAGTAGGTACTGACAAAGGAACCACAGAGCTAAAGCCAATCTGTGTATTATATATTTCAAAAAATTTTTTTTTCATTTATGTCTTTGGTTCAGGGTCTTACTACACAGCTCGGACTCATAGTGATCCTTCTGTTTTCAGCCTCCCCAGCACTGGGATTACAGGCAGGGGCCACCACACAGGACTCTGTGTCCCATGGGTGGGGGCCTGGTCGGTACAGCATGCAGGACCAGGATCCAATCAAAAAGAAATTTTTTAGGGTCAAGTAGGGAAAAGGCATTGCAAAAGGTCAGAGGGAAATTGATGATTAGCAGAATGAAATGGCGAGTAGAGGTCAGGCGCCAGAAAGACAGATGTTGCTGTCAGTGTCAGCGGAGTCTGGGGAGTCATGGGATGGAAGTCAGATCATGGCAAATTAGTGTTTTCAGTCCTAAAGATCACCAACTAGTTGTGTGTTTAGGAAAGTCATATGAGATTTAACCTTTTTCCTTTTTAACCCTGAATTAAAGATTTCATTTTAGGATAGGAGTGAACCTTATATATAGTCTTTGGTTAATAGCTACACTTTATAAGTGGGAAGCCCAGTCCACTAAGGCAAGCACAAGTCCCATCTAGAACCCAGGCTCTCTCACCTGCTTAGTAACTGTGCAGGGCGGACAAGTAATCCACATACTCTGCTTTGGTTTCCTTGTTATTCAAGCCACCACTCTTTCCAGTGTACTGGAGCTATAATGAGTATGTCCTTCTGAACTTTTTTTTCCCTCTCAAAAAGGTTTTGGAGGGCTGGGGAGCTAGCTCAGCGGTCCATGCACCTGCCTGGCAAGTGCAAGAACCCGGTTTGATTCCTGGTACCACATGCCATGCTAGCCCTGGAACCCCAGGCATGCCATACCAGCCACCAAGATGAGGTGTAATGGTACAGGCCTGTAATCGCAGTACTGGGGAGGCTAAGATAGGATCAGTACAAGTTTGAGCTGTGTAGTGAGACCCTGAACCAAATACGTACGTACGTAAGTACGTACATACATGAGTAAATAGACTTTCAAAAAAAATGCATTAGACCTTTAATCCAGCTCAGCACTTTCCTTTATACTCTCTCTTCCTAGGCCAGTTGATAGATTTGATCGAGACCGAGCGCCCAGAGGCCGTGGAGGCTCAAGAGGGGGCCTGCGAGGCCGAGGCCGAGGTGGGCCTGGAAACAGAGCTTTTGACACTTTTGACCCGAGAGGGAAGCGAGAGTTTGAAAGATATAGTGGTAATGATAAAATGTAAGTTTCTTTGTAGATACTGTTTTTACTTTAAGATTTTGGTAATCTGTGATCTGAATCTATTACTTGGTGTTAAAGTTTATTTAACTTTGTGTTAGTGTACTATTTTTCTCATGGGGCGCTGATCCTGGGGCATGTTCTGTGATCTTTTTCTACTTGGAGTTTGGAGAGCAGTTTTCAGTTTAAGGGAATATTTGTTCTTCCTCCAGAGCATTCAGACCTGAAGACAGCACAGGTGGGTGTGGAGTTCGTACCTGGGGGTCAGGAAAAGACGCTAGGTAAGTACACATATACCACTGAGAGTTTGTGATTAAGTGGAAACTTCTGGATTTTAAATTTTTGAAAATGATGTCTCTGTATCATTCTTTCTACTTGGTGTGTCATTGGTTCAGGGCTTCTATTTAGTGACTCTTGTTTGGTGGGAAGACCTTGGATTGAGCCAGGAGGTAACTTAAAGACAGATTTACTGTGTCACATTTAGATTTGAAACTGCTTTTTTTAAAGGTCTTTATCAAATGTGTGGCAGCCGACCATGGATTTGCTGATGCCCCACATGTGGCACTGTATATTTACACATGCCTCCAAAGAACTTTAAATTCTTGAATGTTTATATTTTTCTGTGACCTTCCACAGTTCTTGTACCTCCTTGATATTTTGAAATCATTCACAATTGGATGCTCAGTGACCAGTGTCACCAAGGCTCTAATTAGACATTCGTCTGAGTCTTCCTGGCACCCTGCTCTGTGATCACTGGTTTGGCTGGCTAGGGTTAGTCCTTGCTGCTGCCCTTACGTCCTTCCTGGTGTCTGCAGAGGAGGAGGAGGCCAGGCAGGGCCAGTAGTGCAGGGCTGGCTTCTGCAAGAGTGAAGGCTTGAGGAGGTCTGGTCTTCCATATTCTTCTTTTGAGCAATATAAGCTTAACTTTTCTTAAACTGCCCTCCTAGAATACAAATGTACAAAATAATACTAAAGTGTAATATTAGATATGTTGTCCTTGCTTATCGAGATCTTTTTTTTCTGTGTAGTACTAGGGGGAATAAGCCCAGGACCTTTGCACTGAGCTATGTCCCTGGCTCCTTCTTTTATCTTGAGACAGTGTCTCATTAAGTTGCACAGGCTAGTCTCAAACTTGCAGTGCTGCCTCAGCTGGCTTATCGGATAGTATTAATGTTAATATAAATGGAAAAATTAAGATCGTGTGAAATGAAATTCAAGTTATTCTACTGAGTATTGTGTGTTTGGATTTTCCAATCAGTGTCTCAGAACCTTGGTTTTCTGGAGTAGGGACAGTTTGTTGTAATCTTGCCTGCTCATTTTTATGGGTTCTAGCTCTACCTTATTACCATTTTCTAAGAGTTTAGTAAATCATTTAACACTGCTAGATTGAGAATATGTGGGCTCCTTTTACTAATTGAAATTCTCAGAATAATAGGAGTTTTGAGTATTTTTCTGATCTTTTAGTCTTTTCTCTCTCTCTCTCTCTCTCTTTTTTTTTTTTTTGTGGAACTGGGGATTGAACTCAGGCCCTTGCGCTTGCCAGGGAAGCGCTTATTCCATGGAGCCATCTCCCCAGCCCCCTAGTCTTTTCTTAATGTTAGATCATTTGTGGCAGTTTTATTCAGGAGCTCTTAGCAGTTTTGGAAATTATTGCTATGGACAGGCAACTGAGACTTCTTTCCTATCCTGATTCTGATGTGGATGCCCATTTGTGTACATGTTACTTGAAGAAGGTGCCATTAAGGAAGGGGCGTGAGTGTGCTTTTAGAACATTGGGTGAACACACCGTGACTGGAGAGGTTCTTACTATTTTCCAGCGACTGGGAGCTGACTGGCCTGATGGACGAGACCCCAGCGATGGAGGAGGCCCAGGGTGCCCTGGAGGAGGATTCTGCCACCAAGTAGGAGTCACATCCACCTTCCCCTTGGCATTGTGGGTCATTTGCTTATTTCTGAGAGCTTAACCCTTTATCATAACCCGGAGAGTTGATCTCTTTGATGTTACTAGTGACTCATCAGCAAAGTAAGTAGCTCAAGTAATCTAATAAATGAATTGTACTGATAATTACTTAAATTCAAATATGCTGTCTGCTGACTACAGCCTTTCTGTCAGCAGCTGTTCTCTTCCTTTCTTGGGGCTGCCCTTATCTTGGCCCCTGACAGTGTCCCAGCCAATCTTCCCTCCCTTTTCTTTGTAGTCCTGGGCCACCTCTGCACACTTGTCCCTTCAGCTCCTCTGCCCTTTGGGTTTTCTGTTGTACCCAGTCTCGGAGCCCACCTGGGTGGCCCTCCTTTGTGCCTGTGGCCACTTGTCGAGCAGCAGCTCCCTGAAATGAGCCCTCAATGCAGTCAGCGTCTCCATTCTCTGGATTCATCATCTCCATGCCTCATCCTCCCTTTTGCCAGCACAACTTTGCTCCCAGAGAAACGAACTGTCTGCTGGGAGTGGCGAGTCCTCACACTGCTGGTCAGCTCCTCCAGCTGCTGTGCTGCTCATTTCCTTCCTCCTGGCCCTGACCTTCTTGTCAGCATTTGAAACATGCTCAAGCTCTGGTTTTCAATCTTCTCTATCCTGACCACTACAGTGATCCTCCTACCTCAGCCTCCCAAATGCTGGGATCATAAGCATGTATTGCCCTGCCGTGCTGCTTCTCTTTCTTGCATACTGAAAATCCATCCTAATTGTCAGGAGTATCATGCTGGTACTCATTTGCTACACACATCATGTAACCAATGCTGTCTTTACTAATAACAGTTATTGAAAACATGGGGGGGTGTTGTTTTTGTTTTTGGAGGAACTGGGGGTTGAACTCAGGCCCTTGTGCTTGCCAGGCAAGCACTTATTCTACTGAGCCATCTCCCTGGCCCCTGAAAACTTATGTTGAATGTGATAAGTAATCAGATTTTATTTCAGAGTCTTTTGAAATAGTTTTATGGCTGTCACCAAATTGATAAACATTTAGGTTAATTTGATTCATTTTACTTTTTAAATTTTAGAGATTGCTTTTAATTTAAACTTTGTTTTGAAAAAAATAAATAAATAAACCTTGTTTTGTTTTGAGACAGGGTTCCCTGTGTAGTTCAGACTGGCCTTGACTTTACCATGTAGCCCAGACATTCTAGGTATGTGCCACCATACCCAGCTCTTAAATATATAGTTTGGAATTATGCAAACTGTTTGTTTCTGGAGTCACTCTGAAATATGTACTAGTTGATATTTTCAACTGGTTTTCATCCTTGTTCTTTCCTAGTCTAGATTCCCATTGTTTAAAAGCATAATATGGACATAAGATATTAGTATGCCTTCCCATTCCTTGAGTGAATGGTCGCCTGCTGCACGCCCACCTGCTTTTCCTCACCCTAGCTAGTAATTCCATTACTGCACACAGAGGCATTCCTCATTTCACTATTAGCTGCCTCATTCCCATCTGTGCTTATACCCTAATTTCCACCAAACGCCTCTAAATGAGTTAGGTTTTAGCCTATCCTTTGCTATTATAATGTCTTAAAATCTTTTCATGTTGTTGCCAGTATATAGTTGAGGTCTGTGGCATTTTCTTGGTATAAAACTCCATCTTCAGCTGGGGAGATGGCTTAGTGGAATAAGCGCTTCCCTGGCAAGTGCAAGGGCTTGAGTTCAATCCCCGGTTCTGCAAAAAAAAAAAAAAAAAAAAAATTAAAACTCCATCTTCATACTTTAATTTCAGAACAGAATCCAAAAAATGAGACCACCATACATAATATCTAATGCTGCTATCAAATTAGGGAGGGAATGGAGCTTGAGGCCCTTGTTTCCTGTCTTAGACACAGTGTAGGAGAGGAAAGCCTATGGGATGTCATCAGAGGAGCAGGGTGGGACAAGGCTGCTTGAGGTTGCAGTGTAGCCATGAGGACACTGTCCAGAGGGCACAGGCTTCCCAGGAGATGCTCCTGCTCTGCCTCTCCCATTTGATTTGCATCCTCATCCTCCTAGAGATAAGGATTTGCCAGGATCAGCAGCAGAGAGCTGCTCCGGGTCCCTTTGTCTTCACTGGTATCCAGGCCCAGATTGTTTATATAGCAATATATATAAACAATTATTGTGATTAGAGTGGCTCTGGGGTCTTCGCAGGAGAAGTCGGAACATAGCGCAATTTCAGACAGCAGCACTACCAGGTCCTTTACAGCCTTTTCTTTTTTTTCTGTCAGCCTTTAGCTGTATCTTCACACTGGCATGGTTGGGGTTGAACTCCAGGTACTTTTTCACCATCATGTAACCCATTGTGGAGTTCTTTTGCACATGCTTTACAAAAGCAGCATTGGTCACCTGGCCTTTGCGCTCACCTGTGACGTAATAGATAACTTCTGGACCTCCTTCATGGGAAACATACTCTGACAGAGAAATCATCTCATCTCCAGCTCGGAAAGGCATCACCTTTTAGTGGAGTCCTCTTGGATTTCAAGTTTTAGATTTTTAGCACTTTTTTTTTTTTTTCCATGGAACCAGGGATTGAACTCAGGCCCTTGCACTTGCCAGGGAAGCGCTTATTCCCCTGAGCCATCTCCCCGGCCCTCAAGTTTTAGATTTTTGAGAATGCTTTGTATAATTTCTTTTAGTTCTCTGTCTTCTTTCTACTTAGAGGAAGGCACTTCTTAACAGTGTTTTTGTAAGAAGATTCTAGATTTTCCCTGCTGGAAGATTTCTTGGGAGATGTTCAGGGGAAGGTCCCAGAGGTTAGCACATCGTGCATAAGGTTTAGGTGGTCTGGTATCAGTTCAGCACAGTTGTCCATGATGAACATGTGATTGACATAAAGTTTGATGTTCTTTTTCTTGTTCTCTAAGAGGTTAAAGAGAGTCCTGTTGGGAGCTTGACTAGGCTCTCAATCTCTGTGAGTATTTGGCAAAGGCTTAAATAAAAAAGACAAGTAAAATGACTTGTGGGAGTCCAGGAAAGTCAGAACTCTTTGGAGCTAAAACAGAGGCTTCTCTGGATCCCCCCTTATTTATTGGGTCCTTAACAATTTAAGGTAATGAGAAGTAGAGGGCACAGCTGAAGCCAAAGCCTGTGAAAATGAGCAGGGCCTTGAGAAATTAGAACAAAGACATTCAAAGCAGTAAATCTTGCTAAATAAGAAAAACAGTCTCTTAGGTTGGCAGTTATTGCTTTGGAGTCTGAAGGGAGAGCCTGTGTCCTTGACTGCCTCAGCTGTGGTGTTACCTTGTCTTCAGAGCGCTGTGGTCAGCAACTTAACCCTTACACAACCCGGTTCCCAACAGAGCCCCCTATGAGTGGATTAGCAATGTCCCAAATTCGAACCAATCTACAGAGAAGTGCTTGACTGCAGGTGGTCTTCCTAGTCATTGTCAAGTCTCTTGTAGAATTGTTCATATTCCTAGAGCTAGTGTGGTACACACTTGTAATCTCAGCACTCAGAAGGCTGAAGCAAGAGTGTCACAAGTTAGTGCCCCAGTCTGGGCTATATAGCTAAGGCCAGCCTAAGCTACATAGAGACCCTGTCTAGAATGAATGAATGAATTTTTCATATTCCTCCTGAGTGATGTCATCTGGGTTTCTGGTCCAGATGGGCTTGGTCATATTCACTTCTTTTTCTTTTATGTATTTGCTTTCAATTTTCTTGGTTTTCTTTTTCTCATTCTTAGCAGTGTCTTCCTCCTCTTTTGAGTCTACATCTTAGTCTTGGGCCACCTCTTTCTCTTCCTGTCTCATTGTCACTGATTTCAGCCTCTTTCCTTCTCCCAGTAGTGTGATAGGATAGCCTGTGAGTGGCAGGTGTTTCTTCACCATTTTTTCAGTCTACCTCTATTCTGAGTACTTTGTCTCATACTTCAAGATGGAGATCACTTTGGGCCCTGGCCAGTGTGCTCACCACAGCTGGTATGTGTGGTGGAAGATCCCAGCAGAAGCACCCAGCATACTGCTCATCATTGTTGTGCTGCTTAACTATGACCCCTTGCTGTGTCACAAAAGAGACAGAGTAAAATCTCACACCAACTTGCATAATCACGGACATGTCTGCACCACCCTGAAGAGCCTTTGCAAAGACTTGAGTACTAGACTTGGCACTAGTTCTTAAATGATTTATGAGGTAAACCTTGGTCCTGCTGTTGCCTGGATCCAGCAAAGCGAGAGTGTGTTCCTCCGAGTTGGAGATATCAGTGTTCATCCATTCACCACTGTTCAACTTGGAAGCGTCTTGTCAGGCTCTCATAGCCAATCTCATCCATGGCATCCAAACCATTAGCGATCAGCTCCCTTTAGGAAAGTTCCCTGTTGGAACCAGAGGTGTTGATAATAAGAAATGTAAATTGGGCAGTTTCTTCCTGAAAGGCAAAATTCTCTTCCTCCCCACTGTGTATCTCCTCAGGCACTGTGATGAGAAAGGTCTGTGAGTATGAGGGAGGGAGAGGGAATGCAAGGCGGGCTAGGATTGAGTCTGAAGCATTTACAGGACTGGAGCTTTGTGATGGCTGGCTAGTGGGATCTGTGTCTTAATGAAAGTAGTTTTGTAATTTCTTAACAGAAATATCCCAACAACACTTGTAAAGAATTTTATAATCAACAATATATCAATTTTAAGATGTATATATCTTACTATGTTCTATCACGTCTCCCTACAGTCAGCCATGTTTTTGACACATTTCATAGTAAAGTAGACATTTATATGCTTTCCCCAAATAGTTTAGTGTACCTCTCATTAAGTAGAACTTAGGTTTTATTTACCACTTCTTTCTTCTGATATAAAATTGCTATACAGAGAGCCACATGTCTGCGGTGTATTGCACTGTTTTGGCAGACGCATGTACTTGTAGGCCTGTCAATGTATACACTGTCGCCCATCACTCAGAAGCTCTCCCAGTCCCCTCATGGGCAGTCACTACTGTGGTCTGTCTTGGATGCTCTATGATTAGATTCCTCTCCCAGTTTTGCTTACGGTTTTCATCTCTAACTTGTATATTCATAGTACCCTGAGTTACATTAGCCCATCAGTGAAGGGGTAGGCTTCATTTCCTCCCTGTCATTTCTTTTTCTTTCAAACAACTTTATTGAAATGTAATGCTCATACTATACAACCCAGACATTTACTGTTTGATGGTTTGGAGTATTACATTAATAATGTTTTAAAATTTGAATACGTATAAATAATATAAATAATATAAAATCACTTTTTTAAAAGATATGTTGGGTGTTCTGTGTAGTCCAGGCTGGCCTTGAACTTGCTGTGTAGCTTAGACTACCTTGAATTTAAATCCTCATGCCTCAGCTTCTCAAGTCCTGAAGTTAAGGTATAGTTCAGGCTGGGGTATAGTTCAGTAGCATAAGCACTTGCCTGGCAACTGCAGGTTCCTGAGTTTGATCCCCAGTTTCACAAAAAAAAAAAAAAAAAATCCATTCTTTAAGGGCCTGAGAGATAGCTCAGTAGAATAAGCACTTGCCTGGCAAGCACAGAATCCTGAGTTCAATCCCTGGTACCACAAAAACAAGAGTCAAGTCCTGAAGTTATAAGGTAGGCACCACTGTGCTTAACTCATTTTTTTTTAAATTTTATTTATTTGTGTGTGTGTGTGTGTGTGTGTGTGTGTGTGTGTGTGGCCAGCTCAGCCCACCAGGGGGTGGGGCTGGCTGGCATGTGGTACTGGGGGATTGAACCGTGGTCCCTGTGCTTTGCTAAGCTTGTTCTAAGTAGGTGCTTTAGGCTACCGAGCCATCCCACCAGCCCTTAACTAATTTTTAAGTAATAAAATAAACATTCACACTGTGTATAGGCACCACCACCATCATCTCCAGAACTTCCCAAACAGAAAGTGTGTACCCACTAAGCACTATGATTTTTGGGGGGATCAAACTCAGGACCTTGCGCTTGCCAGGAAAGTACTTATTCCACTGACCTGTCTCCCCAGCCCTCCACTAAACACTATGAACTCCTGTCAACCCCAGTCTATATTAGTGAATTTGCCTGATGTAACGAATCATTCAATGTTTGGCTTATTTTACTTGGGGAAAGGTGTCAGGTTTATTCATATTATGCCTTCTTAATACTCTTGCATGTTTTCTGTGGAGGCATTTGGTGGTAAGATACATATAATATTTATAGTTTTGATTCTTTTATAATGTGCAGTTCAGTGGCATCTAGATCACTTCTCGGCCTTTTGGCTAAGACCACGTGCAGCGGCATCTAGTACATCTACAGTGTTGTGCAGCCATCGCCATTATGCAGTTCCAGAATATTTCTGTCATCCCAGAAGGAAACCTTCTATCCATTAAGCACTCAGTCTGGTCTGCTGCTTGTCTCTCTGAATTTGCCTCTTATGAATATTTTATATAAATGGAACCCTACACAGAAACAAGACTTAGCTCTATGTGGCTGCCTTATTACACTCAGCAGCCTATTGGCAAGGTTTGTTCATGGTGAACCATGTACTAGTACTGTGTTTTTATTGCCAAATAACATTTTAAAAAATATCTTTTGTTTATCCAATGAAAGACGAAAGGGTGGTTTCTAGTTCATGGGTGTTAGGAATACTACTACTATGAACATCATGTGCGGGCTTCGATGTGAACATATGGTTTTTTTTCTCTTGGGAATATACCCAAGAGTGAAGTTGACAAGTCATATGTCAACTCCGTTTAAAAATTTAAAGACCCCTCAGGCTGTTTTCTGAAGCAGCCAAATTATTTTCTGTCCCCGCAAGAGGTGTATGTGGCATTGGGATGGTGATATTCCCATTTTTTCATGGGCTGCTTTGAACAGAGACAGGAAGTATCTTCAGTTGGCAGCAATGGCATGTGATGAAGAAAATATAGGGGGCTGGTGAGATGGCTCAGTGGTCTAAAGCACCTACTTAGAACAAGCTTAGCAAAGCAAAGGGACCACAGTTCAATCCCCCAGCACCACATG